TAATTGTTTGGAATTGAATGGAATCAAAAATTGAATGCATAAAGAATAAAGGAAGTAAACACATCAATAGTTTTCATCAATAACAGATTATTAGTCCCCTACCGGTGAAACCGGAGGGGACTATAGGTTTCCTCTGAGTCCGTCCGTCCGTCTGCCTGTCTGTCTGTCTGCCTGTCTGTCCCTCTGTCTGTCAGTTTGTCCCACTTGTTTTTCCGCAATTTTTTCCCAAACGCTTGCAGATATTGAGCTGATTTTTGGTATGTGAGTTTATCTTGATGAGTTACAGATCAAGTTTGCATTTCGTCCCGCTTCTTTGATATTTGACGGAATAATGGCATTTTCAATTCTTAACGGGAACCAGATTACACTTGCCGGTAGGGGACTAGTATTGCTAATGCAATACTCTCAGAATGCTTGTTACTTCTGCTAACAGTTATTTTTAAAACTCAAGTAACAAATTCCGATGTGAATCTTCTTGCACAAATTTTAGCTGGTTAGCTAATATCCTATAACTCCGTACTATGAAAATATTAATCTGCCTGACGCTCTTTACTTCGGGCAATGAGTGCAAATAAACATCGATGCTGGTTGGATTACATTGCGCTGGTAGAGTGGTTTCCATATTAATTTTTCACGCAGGCGATCTGGGTTCAATCCCGACTATGTCCGATTTTTTTTCGTTTTTAAGCCTAAATTTACATTTTCATCTTTATAATTGATGTTGACTTTTTTCTGTCTAAATTCTCCACTGTTTCAATATTTTTTTTATAAAATGAAAAAATCTTTAATATCCTGGTATTTTTAGAAGATATATTTATAGGTGATCTTTACCACGAGCACATATAAATGTAATTTTTCATGCAAAGAATATCACTTAATTAGTTAATATAAGGATGGTTATTCGGACGGAAGACCTCTCGTTGCTCGCAACGAGTTTCTAGTTAAAATTACTTATTTGTTATTACAAATAACAAATTTATTATTTCAAACTAATTTAATAAATATACATAAATACAATGTATATATCAAATTGAGCTTAAAATGTTCAGGTGATCATGTGGTCCGGATGCCTCTTTTGTTAGTAAATGTATTTTTATAATCATGAATCCATAACCAGTCTGAAATTGTTAAGATTTAACGAAGCATGAACTCTGTTTAAAAGGAAGTTGCGGAAGAAAGATTTTTGTGTAAAAATACAAGTAAATAAAAACAAGAGGCCCAAGGGCCTTGAATCGCTCTTCTGATAAACTGTACAACCTATCACTGCTATTTGAAGCCTCAAATATCCTGTATATTTAGATAAACCCTTGAAATTCCAAAGGTAGGTCATCATGACCTACATTTTAGATGAAACACTCTGAGAGCCCAAGATGATTCTAAGCCAGTTAGTACCTGAGAGTTGGTTATGGTGACCTACTTATCACTTGTCATTCTCTGAGGACCCAAGATGCATCAACTTAGTTTGATGATTCTAAGTCAAGTAATACCTAAAAAAGTTTTAAAATTATAACCATAAAATTTCAAAAGTAGGTCACAGTGACCTACTTTTCAGATGACATAACTTTGAGGACCCAAGATGCATCAACTGACCAAGTTTGATATTTCTAAGCCAATAAGTACCTGATATATTTAAATAAAGCCATAAAATTTCAAAAATAGATCACAGGACCCCCTTTTCAGTCGACTAACTTTGCTGACCCAAGATGCATCAACTGACAAAGTTTGATGATTCTAAGCCAATTAGTACCCGAAATATTTAATTAAAGCCATAAATTTTCAAAAGTAAGTCACAGTGACCTACTTTTCAGTCGACCTACTCCGAAGACCCAGGATGCATCAACTGACAAAGTTTGATGATTCATCAAACTAAGTTGATGCATCTTGGGTCCTCAGAGAATGACAAGATACATCAAATGACAAAGTTTGAAAATCATAGGCCTTAAATTGTTCAAAACATGCCTCTAAATCATATTGAAAAAGAATGGCCGCAAAATTTAAAAAGTAGGTCACCATGACCTACTTTTGAGTCAACATGATATGAGGTCCTTAGATGCCTCAACTGACAAGATTTGATGATCCTAGTCCTTAGTAAGCAAAATATCAACATTTTAATAAAATGTAATTTTTGGTCAACTTTGAAGTGACCTTGAGACCATGCCCTTTGCCCCAGGGTAAATTCCCGTCCAATTTTAATCTACAACATATCATCATCCTTTTGTGTAAGTTTCGTGATACTCTGCCCAGTGGTACTTGAGAAGATTTTTAAGCAACCAGTACTTTTGTTTCTATTTTCCTAATTATCTCCCCTTGTTTAAGGGTCACATCCCTAGTTTTAGTATAAACGGGTGCCCTTGGGCCAAGGATAACCTGTGACAAATTTGACAATAATTGGCCAAGGGGTTCTTGAGCTATGGCCCATATTCTAAAAAGTTTACGCACACCGCACAAATGGCCATAGCATTAGCTCTTTGAGCCTTTGGCTCAAAAGAGCTAAAAAGTTTTTTTTTTTAAATTCGACCCCTCCTTGTTACAAAAAAAATTCCGAAACCTCATTGCACATCTACAGGAAATCACCAATTACATTCCGAAAGATAACTGTTAGAGGAGTTCTGGGAACACATTTTTTGGTGGGAAATTGTCGTTTTTCGGCCACTAACTGGCTTCCCAGATGAAATTGAAAATACCTCAGTTTTATTGCACATCTACGGGTCACCACAAATTATAATACAGAAGACGCCAAGTCTACAACTGCATAAGATCTAATAGGGATTTTGGAACAAGGCTTAACTTGCAGGAAAAACCTTCTTCAATCCCCAATTGGCCCTCAGAATGAAAACAAAAACCCTATTGTATATCTACAGGACACCATCAATCATATTCCAAAAGTTGAACTGGCTAGTGCTTCTTAGGATGTAATAAGAGTTTAAGGAAGAACCATGCTCCTGTTCAAGCTAGAAAAGATGTTTCTACATTTGTATTTCAATTACATTAATGAAATATTAAAGAAGTATGAATTTAATGTAAAAACTTTGTTAAGTTTTTTTTACAGATGGATATAGAGTATTACTGGGTATTACTGTTGAGTATTACTTTATAAATCTGGGTTACGTGGTTTTAACAGATGGCAGTGGCGTAGCTTGGGGTCGATCAATGCAGAAGCATAAACCGCAAAGGGGGGAGGGGGGCAGCATAAGGTCCCGATGGGACCAAAGTGAAGTCGATAGGTAGGTGAGAATTTTTCCTACAAAATTAAAGTTCAACAAACATTGACAGGATGAGAAAATTCAGGAATAAAAAGAAAAATATATATCGTTTTCTGGATACATGACAACATCGTGCATTGTGCAACACCTTCTGGAATTTACAGACTCGCGCCATCTAGCATTAATTAAGTTAATGACTTTTTTTGTATTATCCAGCGTCAATTCAGTGAATGACTGTTTTGCATCGCTGATCGTTCGTTTTGCAACGGAGTCTTTTGATTTTGCAATCGAGACTGTTGGTTTTATTTTATTATTTTAAGCCGTTAGTTTTGCATCGGTAATCGTTCGTTTTGCAACACAGCCTGTTGATTTTGCAATTGAGTATGTTAATTTTACTGCAATCTGTCTTCGTCCTTCGGCGTGCGTCGTCCATCGGTTGTAATCTTTTGAACATTTTCAGCTTTTTCTCTATAGAACTGCTGAACCAATTTCATCATAATTTGGTATAGAACATCTTTGGGCAAAGGGGGGGGGGACAAAAATTTTGAATTTCATGGTACCTGTCCCCCTGGGGCTTAGGGGGTGGGGTCAAAACCATCAAAATTAATTTTCAAAAATCTTCTTCTCTACTCCTGGACAACAAGCAGTCAAACTGTTGACATAATTATAACATACAATAAGTCCTTTACCAAAATTATGAAATTTATGGCCCCATCGTTAGGGGTTCTGGAGTTAAGGGGGGCTCTATTGATCACATAGTGAAAAAATTTGTATAAATTCTTTAAAAAGCTTCTTCTCTCCCCTGTATACTAGAAAAGAAACTAAGTGTATGGTTATGATAAGCAAAGGTGCCTCTTCTAAAATTGTAAATATCATGGCACCTAGGTCAGGGGTTCTGGTGTGAAAGGGGGGGGGGGCTCTATTGATTATACAGTGAAAATGAATTATTTATTCCAATGTTTCCATCAGAAGTTCGATCAAATTGATAACTCAAAGGTCTCAATTATTAAACTCTGGTGAAGTAAACTATGAAAAATATTAGGATTTTTACTTGGAAAGTTTTCTCTCTTATCAGAGGGTTGGCACCCCTTAAAAATACTGAAAACAAATGCTTTTTGCAGGAAAATGACACTGACATTCACATTATAAATACACATACATGTTTCATAACCAGTTATACAGAAATGTAGGCCTAATTAAAGAAATTAATGTTTTAAACGATGGATGCTTCAGAAGAGGCGTAGAATTTTTTGTTTTGGTTTGCTATTTTCAAAGTTCCATTTCCCCTTAGTCTTTTTAAAATTTACCTTCATATTCCACGCTAATTTCCTTCCAAATCCTTTGTTCAAAAATTCTGTCCTCACTTTTATGGTTCAACTGTCGACATATTAGTATTCCAAAAATATTTCAGAGAGGCTAAATGTATATGTGTGTGTTCTTAATGATGGATAAATTGACCACTAAAATTTCTCTTTATTCATTTTAATGGTTTAAGTCAGTAAATGATGATGCACATCAATGCTAAGAAATCAGAGAAATGTGATAGAACTCCACATTAGAAGCCTGTCTTCAATAATTATTGTTGTAGCAAGTCGCTTGTAAAATCCTGTCATCACACTCCTACTAACTTCACATGAAAAACTTACAGCAAGTGAGCAATAGGCATAGTTTAATTCAATTTTATTATTCACTTCTGTTACATCATGAATGCAACATATATTTTAATAATCAATTGAATTTGTATATGTACCTCTATAAATAATTATTTAAATGACTATAAATGACTATGACTAGTGATTATATTTTGCATATTGATTTATAAATATATCAATATTAATTAAAATATTTTCAGAACACGTCTTACAAATCGCTATTAATATAATGTGGAATCTTTGTTGCATGTATAAAGCTACATCTCCATGAATCTCATGGCATTGAACACTATCATCATACATTATCATCCTTAATCTGCAATATTATATCATGTGTCCTTCATTATCACATACTAATGACTTTGACCAGTCTCACTGGTTGACTGGGAATGCATAGTTAATCACATAATTGTGCTGCTGAATAATTCCTGCACAAACAATCATAACAATTACTGAGCTTTTTTTTTTTTACAATAAAGGCACTTGGAAATTCATTTCTGCTATACATGTACTCTTGGAAGACAAATGTTAAAAGTTGTCAAAAATAAACGTTTCACATGACATTTCTTGTATATATAAATATGAGTTTGTGAGAGGGTAACATTATCAAACAAACAAAATTTGAGACAATAAAAGTGGTGAGCAACAATTATAAATACATGTACACAAGGTACTGTACATTTCAGGTTATAATATTGATTGAGCGTATTCTCATTTTTCAACAGACTCAAGCCAACATAATCTTCAAGGATTTTTTTTATCACTTTTTGAAATAATGCAGCATCAGACACTAACAATAATACACTAATAATACGTGTATATGTTCTATCTTTACACAACATGGCTGACTGATGAAATAATTTGTTTATTTAAATTTTATTGGATGTTTCTTGAAATTCAGTACCAAAGAATTAAGATCAAGAATGAGAATTCCGTTTCATTTTTACACTGCAAATCCAAACCAATTTGCCAAACCAAACCAAACTGCCACTTGAAAAAAAAAAAAAGTCTTACACACTCACTATCATTTTGTTGCAAATTTCCATTATCCAAATGATTTGAATGCCTACAAAAATTGTAGACTGAGTTTTTATGCATTGGCTAGCCTAAATCTAATCCAAACACTTAATACTTATCCTATACATGAACAGTGTAGTTATTAAATAAAGCATTGTAATTAAGTACTTGTATGCAAATAAAAACATTAAACATTATGTTAGTAATTTTTTGTAGAAAGTTAATTTTTACAAAACTGAAAGTGGACAGGATTTAAATCTCAAGAAAATCCTCCAACAATTTACTCTGTATCAGTTCTACTGTTGATTTTTTTCCCCCAGATACACCTCTTTGGTGAGAAGGGAGGTAACACATGGCAATTCCACACTGCTTAAACCCAAGTCTTCATAGTGTTTGCGTACTATGTTGTTCATTCTGGTGAGCAGCCTCTGTATCTCCAGAGGTTCCTTCTTACCTACGACATGTTCATTCAAACCTTGGATCCATGCTTTGATGCCTGTGTGAGGAATAAATTTTATAGAAATTATAAATTCTTATTGTAATTTACAATTTAATATGATATAAACTAAGTAAAAACTGATATTGATAGATTAAAGGCATATTGGCTGTAAATTTTGATGTCAATACACATTTATCAGAATAATTAAACCAAATAATTATATTATTAAAGTTATAATATTTGGAAATTCCACAATAATATTTATTAAATTACAAAAATGTTGAATTTTTGTATTATTTGATTCATTTTTGGGCCATAAGTAAATGCACAACTTTAATAATAACCAATTTTTCCACGTGACATCAGAAGCTACTTAAGCTAGCCCTCGTGTTCAAAAATCCAGATGTGTAAATTCTTAATTTGTTATGTCGAAAATTGAATCTGGTTTTCTACAAACGTAATTTGTTGATCTTAAACTTTTATCTCAAACACTGTATCATGTGATTCATGACGTTTTCTTTTTACACTTCACATCTTGTATTTTAAAGAATGAGGGCGCTTTTCATTGACATTTGGCAGGAATCAGGGCGCACTTGTAAAGTGTAAACTTTATTGAACTGTAAAATTAAATTTTTACATTCTTTGATGTATTATGTTCCTATGAAATAGGAAACGAAAATATTTTCCCTATAGTGTGTTCTGATTTCTTAAAAAGTAACTTGAAACATGGCTAGATGAGTCATTTGGTACAAAATGTTACATTTTTAATCATGTTTTTCTAAAAATTTGCTATCTCTGGGTCATCTCTCCACGATTTTAAAAGACATTTGTGTGCATTTGTATTCAAAGAAACAAACAAACATTTGTAAAAAATGGAGAGAAGACCCAGAGACTATAAAAAATGAACTTTTTCCAAAAAAATATCAATGTGTAAATGCGTTGCTTCTTTGTCATTTTAAATTCCACAGTATTTGTGTAGCGATGATAGCTCAGTCATATGCGTTATTTAAGCCACGATGCGATATGTATCACGATATGTTGAATTGGTTATAAAAAATTTTTTGTAGTGAAATGAACGAAACATTTCTTCATAAATAAGAATAATTTATTCAAAGAAGTTGTATATCTGTTGTAAAACAAAATCATTTTACCCAAGTGATATTAATTATTATGGATTTCATATTTATATTTAGCATATTTATTTTATATATTTAACCCAAGTTTAAGATTAAGAAATTACAAATGAAGAAAACCAGATATACAATTTTCAATCGAACTGTATATTTACAGGTCTGGATTTTTTAACATGATTACTCTCCATACTCCCCACAACATTTACACTGATTTTACTGATAAAGCAATGAAATAGACAACTGATTTTGTTACATTTATAAAAATTAATCAATATAAGTTACAAACAAAATTATGTACAATTAAAGGATAGTTTTTATGCAACGAAAGCTCAAACTGTCTGCATTTCATTGCAATCGATACACAAGTAAATGGAACAGCCTAAGGCCAAAATAAAAAATACCTTTGTTTCCCCTAATGCGACCGACCCGATTAAATCGCGCCGACTGGAAAGTTTTTTAATAAGATTATTCAAACATTTTTTAAATGATTATTAACTTTTATAAAATACAATTCGATCAAAATCCGTTTTTATCAGAAAGGTCATTATTGTTTTACTGTGATTTTCAAGCATTTGCTGGAAACAAAATTGGTGTCCATATCATGTGGTCACAGAGGAATACTATTTACGGTGTTATAAAACAACGGCGATGTATCAACCTTATGCCTTTAGCTTACTCGAATCCTACACGCTTGAAAATTTCGTTAATAAAATATACCATAACTAATTAAGAGTGTTTCGGTGGTATTTGCAATCTAATGAGCAGACGAGGGGCCTACCTTGTGAACACATCAATCAATTTCATTGCATTTTATTTAATTTGAGTTTTGATCTAATATACAGTTCATCTATGTTCCATAGGAGTTGTAAATATGTCTGCATATATCATCCTGATGAAAATAATTCAGACGTCCTTTCTTCATGCCTTCTATTCATGGGTTAAATTTCGTGACTATGACATTGTGTATGGCATTTTTAGATATGGTTTGGTTCAATTAAATATTGAAAAAGTACATTGCATAAAGCACTGGAAGCTGATAGTAGTTTTGAAAAATACTCGAATGCCCTGTCTTTGCATATCTGAGAATCGTCTTTTTAAATATTCGATTTCAATAAATTTACACTGGCTTGAGATATTTTACAAGTTCAATTGAAAAACACCTGTGAATTTAATTTACCTTTAACTTAGTTTTCCCACAGCATTTGTGTGATATTCTGTTTACAAATTGGTTTCTTTTCTACTGCTCTTATTTATAAAGGTATTATTCCATTACATTTTAGAAGGTATTTTCAAAGCTGTTGTCTGAAAAAAAAAAATATTTACCTACCTCCCTACCTACCCAACTTGAGATTTGAGGGTCGGGTTAGGGGAAACAAAGATATTTTTAATGATGGCCTAATCATGACATGGTCAGGTGTCATAATTCATTTTCTCTGTAGAGGAAACGATCAATGTTTTTTAGAGCTGTTAGTAGAATAGAAATAAAGTCCTTGTTGTTGTGAATGATGCAAGATAACCTCCTAGGTCTCGAAATGCTGTTTGAAATATAAAAGCCTTAATGGCTAACACCTCTGCTTTTATATTTCTAACAACACTTCTCGACCTTCGAGGTTATCCTGCAACATTTATGAAAACGCAAACTTTATTTCTTAAATACATAATTCTGATTCATGGATATTCATGAGTAAAAGACACAAACTGAATTAGATTCTGTACTTGTGCAATATAAATAATGAAAATGTTGTTTTTGCTAGCTATACTTTCGTCTAAAAAAATTACACTAGTATAAAAATTCGTTTTTCTTTTCTGACAATTAAAAATAGAAAATAATAAAAAAAATAAATGGCATCTTGTTTAGAAGTGTCATGATCTGTGTATTAAGGGGTGAATAAGTTGTGGATTTAGCTGTAACTACAAGTACCAAAATCTGTCTCGCAGTTGTAGATGAGAAAGTCTGCTTCCCTGGGAATTTTAAGTAATTTGGTAGGCTCTTCTTTACGACGATGTGTGTCATCTTTAGTATCTCGTGGGACTGGCTCTAACTGAAAACATACATGTAAGTAATCAAATATAAATTCTCATATGAATATATGAATACTGATATCTCCTATACCATTGATATGTATCATATGATTTGGAAGTACCGCCACTTATTCTTTAAGTATTTTACCATCGATGTCTTGACTCCTCGGATATTTCAGTTTTTCCTCAGTCCCATGGAGTTCAGGATAACCAGGTTTGACTGTATTAATATCCATATCTTGTACAATGTAAGTCATTTTAATTCCACGGTATTAAAATTACTTTTACTACTTGGTTTGATCATAGGCCTTAAATTGTTTAAAATATGCCTCTAAATCATTTTGAAAAAGAATGGCCACAAAATTTATAAAGTAGGTCACCGTGAACTACTTTTGAGTCAACATGATATGAGGTCCTTAGATGCATCAACTGACATGATTTGATGATCCTAGTCCTTATAGTAAACAAAATACAGTTTATCAACATTTTAATAAAATGTAATTTTTGGTCAACTTTGAAGTGACATTGAGACCACGCCCTTTGCTCCAGGGTGATGCCTTGAACAATTTTCAATCTACAACATATCCTCATCCTTTTGTGTAAGTTTGGTGATAATCTGCCCAGTGGTTCTTGAGAAGAGGATTTTTTAGGCCTTTCAACTAATTTTTCAATTTGCACATTTGGTGAAAACATTTGATAGATAGATTTACAGCTACGTGAAATTCTCAAAAAAGATCATAACATATACATACCTTTAATTAAATCTTTAAAAAAAAATATTATTATTGATTGATTTGTACGATGTTGTGTTTCAAGGACAGGTAACTCAAGTGCTAAAACGACCAACAAATTGCCGTTTTATGAGTTATCGTTTATAGGAATGACATATAGGCTGCTTCAGTTAGAATTCATTGTTATGTACACAAAAGGGTTCCTTACATTGTTTTGTACACAAAAATGTTGACCAAAACAAGGAGAATGTCTTCACTCTACCCGAAATAACGGAATCAAATGAATGGGGAACGGACTATATTCAAGATTTTTAACTCTCTCTGACAGTTGTTACGAGGAAGAAAATATAATGGCATGTTTTTTGTGTGTGCATTGTTGTGCTTCTTATATAAAGATAAACATTTCTACAAGTAAATGCAACAATTAAATATCTCATTCGTTTTACTAAGCACGAAGAACGACTAAGTATAAAAATTTAATCATGTTAAAATTAAGAAGGGGGTAGATTTCACTTTATATTTTTATTAAAAATTTCACTTACATATTATTTCACAGTGTCCGTAACTACATTATAAATAATCTTAACATTTGTGCTAAATTTTAAAACCACTGGATTCTGCTGTCAGCAAAGGAACACTTGGAAAATGCTGAAAATTGACCTGTTAAAAAAACAACTGGATATCTCGGACCTGCTGTAAACAAGTTCCGGTAATGAGTTATCATTCCTTACATTGAACCTTAACGGCAGTTGAAAGGCCTAGATTTTTTAGCAACCAGTACTTTTAGTTTAATTTACCTAATCATCTCCCCTAGTTTTAGCATAAACAGGAGCCCTTGGATCAAGGATACCCTATGACTAATTTGACAAGGGGTTCTTGAGTTATGGCCCATATTCTAAAAAGTTGACGCACACCGCACAAATGGCCACAGCATTAGCTCTTTGAGCCTTTGGCTCAGAAGTGCTAAAAATGTAAACGTCAACATCTTGCAAAGGTGTTAAAAAGAAATTTTGCTCCATTATAAAAGTATAGATTACTTCGCAACAAGGTTTATTTGAAAAACTACCTGTAATAAGAATATTTTGGGCTTCATAAGAAGCCCTTGGCACTTGTCTCCCTTGAGACATTCCTGGAGTTCAGACACGGGCAGCATCATACTCGGAGTAGGGTTTCTAATACTAGAATTTCCATCTCGACTGTCATCCTTACAGATAATCACACCATCCTTCCCAAAGGATAAAATTACACAGATAAAACAGTAGTCATCTGTGAAATCCTTCTGGGCCGCTAAGAAAAAATAAAATACATGTAGTTTTTAGTGAAACGATTTAACAAAGAACAAAAGGCCCATAGGCCACAATGCTCACCTGAGTCACTTAGGTCCTGCTGTTCTGCATTAGCAGATTTTTTTTCCCTACATGTTCCTATGTAAAACATTAATTGCCTTTTTATGGCCCCGCCCACACCCAGAGATCATAATTTGAATAAACTTGAATTAACACCACCTTAGGATGCTTCCATATAAATATGATTAATTATGGCTTTACTGTTCTTGAGAAGGTTTTTAAAGACCTTTTCCTTTATATTTCTATGTAAAACTTTGATCTTCTATTGTGGTCCCAACCTATCCCCAAGGATCAGGATTTAAACAAGAGGCCCAAGGGCCTTAACGGTAACCTGAGTATAATACAACAATTTAGAGGATCCATAGCGTATAAAATAAACTGAAAGGTGAAGCTTTGTTGTCCAAAAGCAAGAAAAATAGGGTGATCAGGATCAACAAAATAATCAGTATAGTATTCATTAACAGTTCATATAAAATTAGGTTCTAATCTGTTCCCCATTTATCACTATCACCATACAGTATATTAACAAACTATCAGTGCTTCTGTACTATTATAATTCCTTGTTGAAATCTCTTACATTGGCCTCTCTTGGTCTTTGATGAACATATAATAAGACAAGTTATTTTTGTCTCATTTTTATATATCTATTACTTACAAGTCTACCTTATCATTAAAACTATGAAAGTTAAAACTATGAAAATACTTTTTGTATTATACAATAAAAATTCTTGCATGATTCTCTTATTCTATTAACCTTTCAAGTACATTATTTACAGTGATTAATTATCAAAAGTAAATGACAAAGGGGAATAACTCCTCTCAGTAGAATACAAATTAATCGAGCCCTGGCCAGGACCAAAACACTTGACCAAATGGTCCAGATGTTCAAAAATCTGGTAAAAATACCCTTCCTTATTAAAACTTTTACTCTTTTTGCCTCTGATATGCCCAGGTGCAGAGAAGATTTTTAAAGAAATAATGCATTTTTACTACAGATTCACTATATTATCAATAGAGCCCCCTCCCCCTCTCCCCCCTCCCCACCGAGAAACACCAGAGTCTCTCTCCCTGGGACCAGAAGTTTGCTCATCATAAGTAATCACTTTTTTTATCTGCTTAACACCAAGGAGCAGACAGGATTATTTAATAGACTTAATGCATTTTCACTATATTATCAAAAGCCCCAACCGCACATTGTACACCAGCACATCTGACCCAGGGGTCATATAATTCGCTACTCTGGAAGAAGCACTCTTGCTCATCATAACTAAATACTTAGCTTCTTTGCTTTCTAACCAGAAGCAGAAAAGAATATTTTCAAAGAAATTTTGCATTTTCACTATATAATCAATAGAGCCCCCCCCCCTTTTCACCAGAACCCCTGACCCTGGGGCCATCCTTTCATATCATAACAATGTACTTAGTTTGTTTAAATAATACCCAGGGGCAGAGAAGAAGATTTTCAAAGAAATAATTCACCTTCACTAGGGTCTATATAGCCCCACTCTATCACCAGAACCCCTGTCCCTGGGGCCATGAATTTCACAATTTTGGAAGAGGCATCCATGCTTATCATAACAATGTTCTTAGTTTGTTTAAATAACACTCAGGAGCTGAGAAGAAGATTTTTAAATCATTAATGCATTTTCACTATATAATAAATAGAGCCCTGCCCTAACACCAGAGCCCCTGATCCAGGAGGCCATGAAATTCACAATTTTGGTAGAGTCACCCTTGCTTATCATAACTATGTATTTAATTTGTTTAAATAATACCCAGGAGTAGAGAAAAAGATTTTCAAAGAAATAATGCACTTTCACTTTATAATCTATAAAGCCCTACCCTAGCACCAGAACCCCTGACCCTGGGGTCATGAATTTCACAATTTTGGTAGAGTCATCCTTGCTTATCATAACTATGTATTTAATTTGTTTAAATAATACCCAGGAGTAGAGAAGAAGATTTTCAAAGAAATAATGCACTTTCACTATATGATCTATATAACCCCGCCCTAGCACCAGAACCCCTGACCCTGGGGCTATAAATTTCACAATTTTGGTAAAATCACTCTTGCTTATCATAACTATGTATTTAATTTGTTTAAACAAGAGGCCCAAGGGCCTTAACAGTCACCTGAGTACAAAACAACAATTTAGAATATCCATAAAGTGATAAATGAAGCTTTGTTGCCCAAAAGCAAGAAAAATAGTATGATTTGCATCAACAAAATAATTGGTCTAGTATCTATCTGTCCCCCATTTATCACTACTACCATGCATACTATTAACAAACTGTCTATTTTTTAACCTCATATTATTACTTCTCACATTGGCTTCTCTTGGCCTTTGAAGAACAATTAAAAAAGATAAGTTATTTTTGCTTCTCTTTTATTCATCTATTATTTCCAAGTCTACCTGATCATTAAAACTATGAAAGTACTTTTTGTATTATACAATAAATATTCTTGCATAATTCTCTTATTCTATTAACCTTTCAAATACATTATTTACAGTGATTTATTATCAAAGGTGAATGGCAAAGGGAATAACTTTGCTCAGCTAAATACAAGTTAATAGAGCACTGGCCAGAACCAAAACACTTGATTAAATGGTCCAGGTGTTCAAAATTCTGGTAAAAATACCCTTGCATATTAAAACTTTTCTCTGTTTGCCTCGAATATGCCAAGAAGCATAGAAAATTTTCAAGAAATGCATTATCACTATATTATTAAATAAATAAGCCCCATCCTTACACCAGAACATCTGACCCATAGGCCATAAGCTCACAATTCTGGAATAAGCACCCTTCCTCATCATAACTATACACTTGTTTGTTTGCTTTATAACCAGTAGTAGAAAACATAGGACATGAATGCCCCGCCGAGGGTATATTAGTAATGCATTATTTTAACACGAATTGAGAAAAGTGAGGTCAAGGTCAAAGGAAAGGTCAAAGTGAAAAAATATTATTGCAGTTGAATAGCTTACATCAGTATGTATCAGCATATGAAGTTTAACACTAATTTAAGAAAAGTGAGGTCAAGGTCAAAGGAAAGGTCAAAGTCAAAAATTGTTGATGCAGTTGAAATGGTTACATCAGTATGTATTAACATATGAAGTTTGATAAAAATATCATGAATGGTATCTTTAAAACTGAGCTAAACACTAATTTAAGAAAAGTGAGGTCAAGGTCAAAGGAAAGGTCAAGGTATAAAATATTGATGCAGTTGAATAGCTCTCATCAGTATGTATCAGCATATGAAGTTTGTTAAAAATATCTTGAATTGTTTTATTAAAACTGAGCTAAACACTAATTTTAGAAAAGTGAGGTCAAGGTCAAAAGAAAGGTCAAGGTCAAAAAATGTTGATGCAGTTGAATATACCTTACATCAGTATGTATCAACATATGAAATTTGATTACACTATCTTGAATGGTATCTTTAAAACTGAGCTAAACACTAATTTAAGAAAAGTGAGGTCAAGGTCAAAGGAAAGGTCAGGGTCAAAAAATGTTGATGCAGTTGCATAGCTCTCATCAATATCTATCAGCATATGAAGTTTGATAAAAATATCTTGGATACTTTCTTTGAAACTGAGCTTTGAACAGAGCTAAACGCAAAGTGTGACGGAAGGACAGACAGAAGGACGGAAGACAGACATGACAAACACTATATGCCCCGACCATATTCATGGCAGGGCATAAAAATATTTTGAAAGAAATTATGCATTTTCACTATATAATCAAAAGAGCCCCTTCACCAGAACCCTTGACCCTGGGGCCATGAATTTCACAATTTTGGAAGAGGCATTCTTCCTTATCATAACCATGCACTTCCTTTGTTTGAAAATACCCAGGAGCTGAGAAAAAAATTTTGAAAGAATTTATGCATTTTCCCTATATATTCAATAGGGCCTTGCCCTAACACCAGAACCCCTGACCCAAGGGTCATGAAATTCACAATTTTGGAAGAGGCAACCATGCTCATCATAACTATGCACTAAGTTAGTTTATTTAAAACCTAAGTGCAGAGAAGAAGTTTTCAAAGAATTAATGCATTTTTACTATATATAATCAATAGAGCCCCGTCCTAACACCTGAACCCCTGACCCAGGGGCCATGAAATTCATAATTTCTGAAAGGGCAGCCATGTTCACCATAACTATGTTCTGAAATAGTTTAATACCCAGAAGCAGAGAAGATTTTCAATGAATTAATGTATTTTCACTATATAATCAATAGAGCCCCACCCTAACACCAGAACCCCTGACCCTGGGGCCATGAAATTCACAATTTTGGAAGAGGCACTCTTCTCATCATAACAATGTACTTAGTTAGTTAATTTAATACCCAGGAGCAGAGAAAAAGATTTTCAAAGAATTAATGCATTTTCACTATATAATCAATAGAGCCCCAACCTTGCACCAGAACCCCTGACCCTGGGGCCATGAAATTCAAAATTTTGGAAGAGGCACTCTTGCTCATCATAACTATGTACTTAGTTAGTTTATTTTATACCCAGAAGCAGAGAAGAAGATTTTCAAAGAAATAATGCACTTTCTCTATATGATCTATATAGCCCCACCCTAGCACCAGAACCCCTGACCCTGGGGCCATGAATTTCACAATTTTTGTAGAAGGCTTAATGCTTATTACAATCATGACAACAGTTTGACTGCATGATATCCAGGAGTAAAGAAGAAGATTTTTAAAGATTGCATTAATCATGGTGGTTTTAGCCCCACCCCTCAACCCCCAGGGGGGGCAAGGACCATGAAATTCACAATTTTTGTTCCCCTTCACCCATAAATGCTATATGTAAAATTTGGTTGAAATTGGTTGAGTGGTGTCAGAGAAGAAGCTAAAAATGTTCGAATGTTAACCCACATTGCACGACGCACGACGACAGACAAAAACGGATAGCAATAGGTCACCTGAGTGACTCAGATGACCTAATAATACCCAGGAGTAGAGAATAAGATTTTCGAAGAAATAATGCAATTTCACTATATGATCTATAAAGATCGCTCTAGCATCAGAACCCCTGACCCTGGGGCCAAGAATTTCACAATTTTGGTAGAGTCACCTTTGCTTATCATAACTGTGAATTCAATTTGTTTCGATAATACCCAGGAGTAGAGAAAAAGATTTTCAAAGAAATAATGCACTTTCACTATATGATTTATATAGCCCCGCCCTAACACCAGAACCCCTGACCCTGGGGCCATGAATTTCACAATTTTGGTAGAGGGCTCAATGCTTATTACAATCATGCCAACAGTTTGACTGTTTGATGTCCAGGAGTAAAGAAGAAGATTTTTAAACATTGCATTAATTTTGGACGACGACCGACAAAAACAGTTAGCAATAGGTCACCTGAGTGACTCAGGTGACCTAACAAACTTGAATCTAAACTACCTGAGGATATTGATGCTTCCATTTTAATATGACTTGGTCATAGCTTTGCTGTTCTTGAGAAGGAGATTTTTTTTTAAAAAGATATTTTCATATATTCCCGTGTAAAAATTTGATTTCCTATTGTACTGATATAATGGTACATGTATTATGATATTTTCCCGTGACAAAATGAACATTGTAATAATGAGACCGCACTGTGTATCGCAATACACAAAAAAAATGTACCGTATCACAGTATAAAAACTGTATACCTGTGTATCACGATATTACATGTATATAACATTTTAAGTAATTTATGCTATTTCTTTGTAATTTAACTAAATATAAGTGATTTTGTTCTTTTTACTTATGCTGTTTTTATTGTATTCAGAGCTTATAAAATGTAACATATTAATATATTTGTGAACTGAAGAAATAACCTTCACCTTTTATCCTTTCACATCGTGACAGAGAATTTCTCATATCAGAACAGAGACACACAAATTGTATAGAAAATTTTGACAGGTGAAATTATCCCAATACCTGTAAGTATCATGATACATGCAGTCCCAATGTATCACATGATATGCTTTAGCTGTATTGTTACACCGGTATATGCCATATTAAAAAGATGGGAGTAATAAAAAAATAATTTTCTCCACAGAAACCACAAATTAAGAGGAAATTTATCTACTAATTTTAATCTAATTTACATGAATTTTCTTTAGTTCAATGACATTTCACCCTCAGGTAAATGTATTTGTATAGCTACCTTGTTTTAGTAACTCGATCATTTCTTTCTTTGATTTATCCTTCTGCTCAAATTTATCTGTACCACCATATATGTCTGTAAACCCTAATTCTGTAAATTTGTGGACCAATTCTTTTATGTCAGCATCCTCTTTTTCAATACGTTCCGAAACACTGTGCGGTGCTCCTCTGGTCTCTTTGTCACGCCTATCTCGTTCCTCACTAGACTGATCTCTACACGTATGAAAATTCTGGTTTCTAATGATGAGGACTTTTCCACTTTTTTTCTTCATTGCATACCTAAAAAATTTATTCAACTTAAGTCAAAATCTTGATATAACTTAAATGTCTGGTTTTGATACTGAATGAAAGTGCATGTAGCATTAAAACTCAACAAATCGGAGGTGAAAAAACCTCAAAAACCATATCCTGTCAACTTGATAATTGTAAAAGGCTGCATGTTTTCAATTCTTGTAACAAGTCTGAAGGCAATGTGCATGAATTGCTTACAATTATGTCATAAAAGAAAACAAGATGTGTTTGTGAAACACTGATGCCCCTGTATGGCAGCTTATAGCAAAGGGTAAAGTTTCTTAATGCAAGTCAAACTCCAGGTCAAGAAATCAAAAATGTTAGTACCATGCAAAAAGAACGGTCTTGTCTCGAGAAATATACCTGTGAAATATGAAAGCCCTAGCTAGTACAAACCGTTGAAAAGTTATGGCGAAGGTTAAAGTTTTTTTAAAGTAAGTAAAATGGCATGGTCAGGGTCAAATGATGTCCAAGGGAAGTTCTTGTCACAAGTGATTCACATGATCATGAAATGTGAAAGCCCCAGAACCAAACATTCAAATGTTATGGCCAATGTTAAAATTTTTAAAAGTAGGTCAAACTCGAAGGTCAAGATCAATGCCAAAATTGTTGGTATCCAAAGGAAGGTCTTGTCACAAGGAATATACATGCAAAGCACGAAAGCCCTAATACCAACAGTTCAAAATTTATGTCCAAGGTTAATTTTTTTCAAAAGTAGGTCAAACTTCAAGGTCAAGGACAAAGAGTCAGAGTTGTTGGTATTTAAAGGAAGGGCTTGTCACAAGGAATGCATATGTGAAGTATGAAAACCCTAACACCAACTGTTCAAAAGTTATGGCCAAGGTTAAAGTTTTTCAAAAGTAGGTCAAACTCCAAGGTCAAGGTCTAAGGGTTAAAGTGTTTGTATCTAAAGCAAGGTCTTCTCACAAAGTCACAAGGAATGCATATCTGAAGTATGAAAACCCTAGCACTATCTGTTTAAAAGTTATGGCCAAAGTTAAAATTTTTCAAAATTGAAGTAGGTCAAACTCCAAGGTCAAGGTCAAAGCTGTTGGTATGCAAAGAGAGCTCTTGTCACATGGAGTACACATGAGAAGTATGAAAGACCTAGCTCAAACTGTTCAAAAGTTATAGCCAAGGATAAAGTTTTATCAACAGTAGGTCATACTCAAAATCAAGGTCAAAGGGTCAAACACATTGGTATCCAATGGAAGGCCTTTTCACAAGGAATACACTTGTGAAGTTTGAAAGCCCAGGATTTAAGTGTTCAAAAGTTATGGCAAAGGTTAAAGTCTCATGAAATTTTGCAAAAGTGGGTCAAACTCCAAGGTCAAGGTCAAAAGGTCAAATATGATGGTAAGCAAAGAAAGGTCTTGTCACAAGGAATACACATGTGAAATATGAAAGCCATAGCTCCAACCAATCAATGGGCAAGGTTAAAGTTTTTTGTGGACAAACAGACAGCTAGACAGACAGACAGACTGCTAGACAGATGGACGGACAGGGCAAAAACTTATATCCCCCCCCCCCCCCCCCCGAATCTTCGATTACGGGGGCATAAAAAATATATAGGTATATGATTTCATGCCATTAAGGTAAAATTATACTTAAAGAAATTATAGATTACTTACATAATTTTTACCATTACCCTTTTTCACTGAATTTTAAGAAATACAGTTAAACTGTGAAGAATGAACATCGATACTAGTAAATTTATGGATATATCAAAGTTCTTTTCATAATTCCTTGTAAAATTTAGGATATAACAAACTCCGATATAATAAATTTATGGATATATAGTGAACTGATTTTGTGTACCACAGAGGTTAAAAGTAATGAAATTTACTAGGGATGGCAATCGAATACGGAATTGCTAATCAGTTGATCTCAGGACTTGCCGACCGATTAACCAGTTCATCATATCAAATACATAATATTTATTTTCTTGACATATATTTTTTTTTTCAAGTAGCTCTGTTCATATAAACAGATGAATTAAGACTCGATCAGGCTAAAAAAAGACATTAGAAGTTAGAAACAGACCAGGAAACTAAATGTATACATATATTTTAGTTCAATTTTAATGGACAAGAAAAAATTTAACCCATGAAACATGCCTGAGAAATCAAACATTGATAATTTTCCAGAGCAGATATGTCACACAATATCACTCTGCATTGTCACAGTGTAATCAAATCAAAGTCAGAACTTTCACTATACATGTATTTACAATGTTTGTCTAACAATATAATTTGATAGCTACAGATAATTACAATAGCTTTATATAGCTATATGGCTATACCATAACCAAGCTATATAGCTAAAAAGGGTTTGACATTAATGTTAGTCCATTAGTCTCCATGGTCTCAGACTAATACATTTGCATTCGGACTAATAAAGTCTGTGGTCAATTAGTCCAAACGGACCAATAAAAATTTCTGGAAAACAAAATGAATAAATTTCCGATGTTTAATTATTGACAACTTATAATGGAAAACCCTGCATGTATTCTTAGGTTTCTAGCTTCTTGGGGGGTAGTAAGGTAAATCTGAGTCAATTCAGTGCTTAATTTTACAACGTGATATGATATGTTAAACATTTTAGCGATTATGATTTAGTATGACACATAAACATTTTGAATGTAATGTACAGAGAAAAAATTAAAGAACAAGATTGGGAATACGATCGTATTTCCTGATCAGGAGATTGATACAAATCTGTGGGATAAAACACTTCACATAAATGCTTTGTTAATTTCATTAAAGTATAAACATGATAAAAGGTACATTGTAATATCTATTTTAATCGTTACAAACCACAATTGATTTTCCTTTTTTGACAGACTAATAAAATCACGCGCAGACTGGTAAAAGTAAAGAAGCACTAGTCCAGCCGAACTAAAGCCTAAAAATGTTAGTGTCAAACCCTGGCTAAATCAAGAGATTGTACTGGAGCTGAGTATATAATCCCATTAGTTTATATGTCTCTGCAGGGACCTATATACTAACGGGATAGGCAACTCTCGCAAGTCTCGCGATACCTCGTAAGTTGCGGGATTTCGTAAGTCAATTTTAATTAAATATATCTCTTTTACTATCAAATATTTCAGAATAAAATCTGAATTTATCTATCAAAAAAATATTCAAGATTTGTTATTAGCACTGTTTTTACTCCTTATCTTAGAAGTAATTACATTTATTTAAAAATCAGTGCGTGCCCCTGATCAGCCGTATTTCCAAGAAATCGCCGATTTTGGTGGTTGTTTACTTAATATCTAAATTATTTTATAATATGTGCTTTAAAATTTATTAAATATCCATTCCGATACACAAAAAGAACAAATTACATTAATCAGAAAACAAGCTTTTTACTGGGAAAAAAAGTAGTTCGAAAAACTTGCAGTGTTGTGTGTGCTATTTTGGGTAAATAAACATGGCGCTGAAGGAGTTGCTTATCCCGTTAGTATAGAGGTCCCTGGTCTCTGCCAATATTTGATAGAGTAACTAAGTAAGAGTTTTTATCCATTCAGGATTCTATGATAAAAACCTTATAGATCATTCAATGAATGAACTTTATGAGACTTAATACAGTAGACTTACCATATTCCATAAAACCTTTAAGTGGTCTTAAACTCTTTCTATGACCATGAATTCAGTGGTCTGTCAGAGCTGACCATTTATATTACATGTTTACTAAGTAAATTGTACTTCTCAATGGTTATTAAACTGTTAAATAAAAATGACTTAGATCAACCTTTCAAATATCAGTAACATTTGACTTGCCTTATAGTAATCATTAAGTAAATTTTGCATTTAGTGCTACTTTGGAGAACTTTCCAGTGACTTTTAATGATCTGTTCAGTGTTAGCATGGTTTAAACATTCTTACTTTTTATCACACATGAGATTAAAATATTACATACCTTCTCTCTGACATTTTCTGATAAACCTTTTCTATTCCCCGTCCTTAAGCAAATGAGTAATATAGTATCAGTACTTTCCGATACTCTAGGTTTACTTTCTTTTTCCCTTACCCTTTCGGGTAAGTCGTCATAGGTATTAATTATCTAATAATGATAAATCTGTAGCCATTATTGTTGGATACATATTTATAAAACCATTTAAAAACTTAATTCGTATTGACAACGTGGTATAAACGCGAAAACATTGTCTTATGCTATGTAAATTTGCTAACGCGAAACAACTACGAATGACTTCCTGAAGATCTGTCAGACCGGATACTGTAACCCTGATGCAGAAGTTCAAGCAACTGAGATGGATAGCCAAACACTTTCTCGAACTAGGAACAAATAATTTCAGATGTTGTCGTGTTGATCCTCTTAGCTATAGATCTGTACTTTATCACAGTAAAGGTCCATATTTAGCAAGCAGGTGAGAAAAACCTACAACAGGTATTTCCAGAAAGGTTTTCAACACAGGTTCTCTAAGGTCTTGGTTTATAAATATGTATACATGTACATTATTGATATGCAAAAAAGTAAATGTATGCATGGATTGTTCTTTGAAAATAACGCTGCACCTACCTATCTTTATGCACTGGATGTCTCGGAACATTGATTACTTATTGTAAAAACCCTCACATCTTGCAAATAATTCCTAAAACATGATTTTATAAACACTTTTTCAAACTTTTCATTAATGTGCCCGGAACTAAGTGCAAATACTAAAATCTTTTTAGACATTTCTAAATTCTAGAGGCATTCCAAGAAATTTAAATACTGTTTAACTTGAATTATCTCTGAACTTTTTTTAATTTTCTCGGAATGCCTAAGTAATAAATGTTCCGAGTCATCTGGTGCATGAAGATCGGCAGGTGCAGCGTTTTTTTCAAAGAACAAGCCATGTAAACAAGCAAGTTGAGCAAATGCCAATACGAAGCCTGCATACCTTTACTTTTTTTTACATATCAAGAAGGTACCAGTGATTTTTTGGGGGTCAAAATACCACCGATATTCGGCTGTCTCCCCTCACAAAAAATTACCTTTTTTTTCCCAATTATTAGTGTATTTTTCCCAATTTCAAACTTAAGGAAATTACGTTTTAATTTTGAACAAAAGTCGCTAAATTTGCTGACAGAGTAAATACATTTTTATTCTTCAATTTCATTCTCCAAATCCATGCATATGCAGTCGATTTTTTAATGAATGTGTAAAACAACGCAGATATAAGAAGATAAGTAGCTTATAATATCCTAAATGAATTGGTAAATAGTTCCCAGATACAAGTCATGTTGCATGTTGGCAGAATGATTTTGGTTTGACCGCCATTATTACCTAGAGGGTCAGGCTAATATCAGGAAATGGTCAACACTACAGGGTTTCACTAAAATCAGGAACAAACTAACAGTAAAGACTGTAAACTTGATTACCAATATAAGGCATTTTACTCAATTATGAGCCTAAATGCTGGTTATTTTTTATGAAATTAGACAAAGCAATACCAAGAAAATAGATACAAGGTGTGACTAATATTTAAGCCATGATCATTCAAAAAAATATTCATGTTAATTTTTTTTAAATGATTATTTTATGAATTTAAATCACATTTAAAATTAAAATCAAACAAAAACTGTTGTTGTTACTTATGTTTGATTATTTTATGTAATTTTTGGCATTCAAATTTACTATAAATGATTTTTCCCAATATGAGGAAAATGTCGCTAATTTTTCCCAATTCAAAAGAAAGGGGTGGTGGTTTAAAAAACAAAAAAAAAATCACTGGGTACATACATGTTTACAAACCAAGACCCAAGAACCTGTAATTTTCAAAGCACAAGACTCAATGCATATTGTTGCTTTCATGATATTTATCCATTTCAAAGCATTTACCATTCTTTAGTTGAAAGATTGGGAATTTAGCAATCTTCTTTTACCACATTGTTTTGCAGTAGAACAATGGCTTCAGGTGGGGAAACTAGCAATAGTCAATACAGCAAGAAAAAGAATCGATTGGCAAAAGAATTGTCGCCCTATCTGCTACAACATGCTTCCAACCCTGTGGATTGGTAGGATAAATATAAGCAATATTTCACATCTTTATATCAAAACATTGCAGACAATCACTAAAATCATCACAATCTTGTGTCTGTATGATATTGCATGTACCTACATGTGTAATCAATATTAGTAAATTTTATTTAGAGTCAGCACATATAACATGAGCTCTGTATAGCTCTTCACTGACAATCACAGAGAAGTATACTGTAAATCTGAAAATTTTTACGTAGATTTATTTCTGCAAATTTGCGAAACAACTAATTTTTTTTTAAAATTAATTTTGCATATGTACTTATGTGTTAGATTCAAATAATTTTTTACTATTGACTGATGTAAATATAGGTACAGTGTTTTTCCTTATAGTCACCCATGCCTGTTTTTTTTTTTTTTACATGTATTCAGACAAACTCTGTTGCAATTAAGCTTCATTCAGTGCACATGCGATAGGAAATATTGCATCGCTTCAGTGCACACATAGTCCAGGTAGACAAAATAAGACATTAGCTGCCTAAGGCAGTACTGGGCTGCAGAGAATCAATAATTAGTAGGAAATTGGAGGGGTGCTGTGGTTGATTGTTTGATAGTTAAAGTCTCACTCCATACTGTCATCATCTCCAAAGTAGTGTTAGGTTATAATGTTTACTGTATGGACAGAAGGATTAAATAATGTAAAAAAAAGTTCAGATAAAAATTATGAAGAATAAAAATATTCAAGTTCATTTTGAAAAATATATTATATTTCTTTTTTAAAAAATGATTGCTTAAAACAATATAAAAGTAAGCATTTTACATTCAAGCATAAATTGAAATTTGTGTGGATTAAATTGATTTAATATTTATTTTTGTTTTGTTTTCATGAAAAATATTTTTACAATGCAGTGCATGCGCAAAATTGCTAATTAAACTAATTTACAGTAAAAATTTTCAGATTTATAGTGTCACATAGCCCTGCTGTTCTTGAGATGGAAATTTTTGAAGAAAATTTATACTCGATTTAAATTAAAAGTCCTATAAAATAATGAACATTTAATTTTATTAATTTTTTTTTATTGCACATTGATCAGGTATCCATGGGGTCAGGAAGCTTTCGACAAAGCCAAAACAGAGAACAAGTTGATTTTTTTGTCTGTTGGGTACTCGACTTGTCACTGGTGCCATGTAATGGAACGGGAATCATTTGAAAATGAGGAAATTGGTCGTATTCTGAATGAAAACTTTGTTTCCATAAAGGTGGATAGAGAAGAAAGACCAGATGTGGATAGAGTGTATATGACATTCATTCAAGTATGTATTAAATACGATTAACATAATACAAAGTCAGGTATACATGCAGCCCATTGTGGAAATTTACATTTGTTGAATCAAAATGTATGTTAAATTGATAATATTATTAAATTTGTATATACACACTGAGGGCACTTGATTGGTGAATAAATGTATCTTATTATAGATATTTATGTGATTTTCTTGTGTTGTCAAAGTGTCCCAGTGTTTTCCATCATTCATAGCGTAATTGGAAGAAAAATCCTTTTTATATGTTTTAAAATCAAGCTCAGCTAAATTTCAAGGTAACTTGACAGAAAATATTGATAGGAAGATGATATTTTATCTTTTAACTCATGGACGTTGACCATGTCCCCAAAAATAGAAAGTATACAACTACACAGTAAAGGTACACGTGGAATGGAAAATTAGATTGATTCAATATTTTCTATGGAACCACCTCCCAAACACTGGTAAATACAGAACTACAATAATCAAATGGTCTACACATGTAGAACATAATATACATGTAAATACATGTATAACAAGCATTAGATGATTGAAATGGTTTCAATCATAGCTGCTAAAAGAAGCTACAAGAAGGGCTTAGAGCTCATGAGAGGCATTTTTTATGTATTTAATTGTCTAGAGTAGTTAAGAATAGAACTCTGCATAAAATTTAGATTGTGCTCCAAAGGACTTGATAATGAAGTTATTCTATCATCTCTTTACTGAAATGTATATAATTTTGTATGGTGAGACAGCTCATCTATAACTGGAGTGGACCAGGCTTAGTATTTGCTTTATGTATATTTGCAGCAGTACATTTATGAAGAATTCCTTTGACATGTCCATATAAGAAATATATTGCAGATTGTAGTGTGCTAATTGTATAGAGATAGTTCAAGCTATTTAAATGAATTTTGGGGGTACTGGCTGAAGTGATCAATGAAAGTATCAGATGTAATTTCTATTTATAACAGCATTTGAAGGAACAAGTTGAAATCAGTGACTTACTAATTCATTGAGATTTATGATCTGATTTTAACCAACTTCATAGTTTGATAGTGAAGTCTGTCCTCAATGCATTGATGAACTTCACTTAAGAAAGCATCATTTGATCATGTTGATAAGTATATTATGTTACTTTGTATATATTTAAATGTTTGGATTTGAATCTTCACAGGCCACTTCAGGGGGAGGAGGTTGGCCTATGAGTGTATGGCTGACTCCAGAGCTTAAACCATTATTTGGAGGGACATATTTTCCTCCAGATGACAGATATTATGGACGTCCAGGGTTTAAATCAGTACTCAACACCATTGCAGATCAAGTAAGCAATTTTACTGATACAGTGCTATCCTTCAATAAGCAGAGAAATTGGTTTAATACTGCATGTATACAGGGAAATTTTCGCCCTACTCACAGGTTGGTGAATTTAAAATGGGGCAAATTCAAAGAATACAGTATCATTTCTTAAACAGAACTGTGACTGGGCGAATTTAAAATGGGGCAAAATTGTTTGCAAGTGTGAAAGGGCAAAAATAATACAGGGCGAAATAAACCTGTATACAGTAGTAAATTGGACCAAGCCTGTAATCAAGAGGAGGCGAGTCCAAACCCCTTTGTGATAACTTGATTTTAAATCTTAGGATATACATCACATCCTATATGTTGTTACGCCTGTTTACCTTGCTGTTTATTCATTCAATTCAGCTGGGGTTAATCAAT